AGGGTCAACCGGGTCTACCTGGGACACACCTGAGGGAGCGGCACCCTAAGGGGGGAGGGGGTCTACCACAGCGGCACCTGGTGCGAGGAAGAGAGGCGGGGGAGGGAGCGGGGCAGTGCGGTAGGGGAAGAGGCGGTAGAAGGGGACGGACTCGTCAAAAGTGACGTCCTGAGAAGCCAGGACCCGGCGCGAGGTGACGTGGTAAAACTGCCAGCCAGGTTCGTCCGGTACAAAGCCAAGGAAGACGCAGGGAACAGCGCGACGGGAGAGCTTGTCCGCGGACGTGTCGCGGACAAAAGCTCGGGATCCCCAGACCCGGAAACGCGACGCATCGCCAACCTCTCCCGTCCACCGCAGAGTCGGGGAAGTCTCCGGCAAGGAGACACGGGGCCAGAGGTTGAGCTGATGCGCAGCGTACCGGACCGCAAACGGCCACAGAAAGTGGGGAGCAGCCGCGTGGGTCAGGGAGGTACGAGCGACCTCCATGACCAAGCCAACGCGGCGCTCAGCGACCCCATTCTGCTGTGGAGAGGCCGGAAGCGTGAACGACTGCTCAATGCCGTGCTCAGCACAGTAGGCTGCCAAGAGGTCGGAGGAGAACTCACCGCCTCTGTCAGAGTGCAAGCGCAGGACAGGAAAGTCCGAGCGAAAACGCTTGCCTAGCTGAAGACGGGCTCGGCTGATCCAGGGGATCAAAACACCAGGGACCTCACCCTTGGTGCGCAAGGGGAAGACCGTGGTGTAGCGCGAGTAGTCGTCAACAACTATCAGGAAGTACCTCTCCTGACCCTGACCACGGATGCGGGCTGGGCCCCACACGTCCATGTGGAGCGTCTGCAAGGGAGCAGTCGTCGGGGGGAAGGAGGAGGAGTGAGGAGCGGCGCGCTGCCGCCCCTCGACACAGGGAAGGCAGTCAGGAGCAGGCGAGGGTGGGAGGGGAGGGAGAACCCTGGGAAGACCAGAGACAAGCTGCCGTTTGTGCATGGCGCGAAGGCGCTGCACAGACGGGTGGCCAAGTCGGTGGTGCCAGAGGACAGTGTCGTGCGCCAGAGAGCGACACGAGCAGGGGGCGGACAGCTGACCTGACGCAGACGCAGACGCAGCTACCTGAGGGGACTCAGTGGTCAGTGTGTACAGGTCCGACCCCGGCTCCCGAGTGAAGGTAGCCAGGTGGCGACCCGTCCGAGCACACGTGCAGTGTGTCACACGCTCGTAGGCAGGGGTGAACTGGTGAACACCCCCGTCCTGGAGCGCACAGCCTGCCACCAGGTTCGTAGAGAACGAGGGGAGGTGGAGACCTGACAGTGTGCCCGACGGGACCGCAGGACAGGGAAGGACAGTGGAGGAGGTCGCAATGACCGGACCCCCAGAGGGGTCAGCGAGGGAGACAGCAACTGGCCGAGCGAGTGGCTCAAGGACAGTGCGGTCACGAAAGAAACAGCGAGAAGCACCTGAGTCCAGTGTGAAGGTGTGCAGTGCTGCAGTCGACTCAGTACCAGGGGGCACAGACTCACGAGCACCTAGAGCAGCAGCCTCACCAGTACCTGGGGCAGCAAGCTCACGAGCACCTAGAGCGGCAGTGGGACTGGTCAGAATGCCCGGGTCGGGCGGAACACGCAAGTACTGAGCACCCTCTCCACTAGTAAACATCGCATACATGGCAGTGAGAATAGCATCATAGTCTAAAGCCCAGATATCAACCCCCTGCCTCTCCAGCTCACCCCAGCGGGGCAGCTCAGCGCCACCAGGGAACTGAGCGCGCCAAGCGTCGGTAAGGCGCGCGTAACAGCGCTGCGTGGGGTGTGGCCTCCCACACTGCTGGCCAGTGCGGTCACCAGTGCGGATGACGTACGTGCAGGTAACACCACCCGCCCCCCCCCGCTGCGAATACCACTCACGGGCGGCCTGGAGGGTCGGGGCGTGCTGCTGACTCTGGCCACCTCCAGCCAGAGCCTCCACGACCACCACCGCCGCCGCCACCTCCTCGACCACCCCCTCCCCTGCCGCTGCCACGACCACCTCCGCCCCCGCTGCTGCCCCCACCCCTGCCACCGCCCCCGCCGCTGCCGTCACCACCCCCATTGCCACCACTAGCCTCCCCCGTCGCTCCTCCACTACCACCGCCTCCACCCCCACCTCCTCCGCCGCCACCTCCACCCTTGCCCCCCTTGCTCCTGCGGCGCCCGCTCGAAGCAGACGCGGTCCCGACCTTCTCAGCACCAAGGAGGTCGACAGCAGCAGCAGAGGCGACAGAGGGGAGGAGGGGGGAAGGGGAACACCCCTCAAAGAAGGGGGTGCGGGGGTCGCCACGAGAGGCACCTACGGCGACGATGCTCGCCTCAGCTGCAAGTAGGTCCTTCTCAAGGAGGGCAATGGTGAGCTCAGTAGGGGAGCGAGCTAGAAAGGAGTCCCTGACTGTGCGCAGAGAGTCAGGGAGGCGGGTGACAATGTGGTAGAGAGTGAGCCAGAGCGGGGGGGGGTTGCTAGCAAGGAACTCGGCAGGCATAGCAGCGCGAAAGCGGGCCGCACTAGACTTGAGGTGGGTGATGAGGTCAGCAACAGTGTGAAAGGAGGCCAGGTCAGGGAACAGGTAGGGCAGTGAGAGGCGGCCTAGTGCGGCAGACGCAGGTGAGGAGTAGCGAGCAACTACGGCTGTGTACAGTTCCTTAGCAGTCTTGCACTGGCCGAAGTGCTCGCGCTCATCTAGCGGTAGGGAGTTGCGAATAGCGAAGCGAGCGTGCGCGTCACGGGTCTGCCACTGGGAGCGCAGAGTGCTGTCAGTAGAAGTGTCAGGGGCAGTAGCGTGGCCTAGGGCGTGATAGTACATTGAAATGTCCTCCTTGGCAGTGAGCTGTAGGAAGAGGTGCAGGTCATCTAGCCAGGTGTCAAACTTCACTGGGCGGCCCTCAGCATCGAAGGCTAGCACAGGAGGGCTAGCCATAGTAGCAGTAGGAGGAACAGTAGCAGTGTCAGTAGCAGTGGCAGTAGCAGCAGTAGTGCGGTAGGGCAGGGCAGCGCGGCTTTAGTACGGCAGGGCCGAGGTAGTCGTGACGGCGGTGGCAGCTGCTGCAAGCTCGGGAACGGCCGCTGCTGCAGGGACGGCGGCGGCTGCTGTTGTAGTCTCGAGCGGCAGCTGCTGCTGTAGGCTCAGCGGCAGCAGCTGCTGCAGGTACGGCGGCGGCTGCTGCTGCTGGCTCGGCGACGGCAGCTGCTGTAGGGATGGCGGCGGCCGCTGCTGTAGGTTCGGCGGCGACTCCTGCTGCCGGTTCGGCGGCGGGAGCTGCTGCAGGGTCGGCGGCAGCTGCTGCTGCAGGGTCGGTGGCGGCCGCTGCTGTAGGTCTGGTGGCGGCTGCCACTGCAGGTCCGACGGTGGCTGCTGCTGTTGGCTCGGCAGCGGCTGCTACTGCAGGTCCGGCTGCGGCTGCTGCTGTAGGCTCTGCAGCTGCAGCTGCTGAAGGTTGGCGGCGGCTGCTGCTGCAGGCTCGGCGGCGGCAGCTGCTGCAGACACGTGCGAAGGGGACCACGACGGGTCCTGGAGGAGCCGCGAAGGGCGGCGAGAGGCGGCGACAGAGCCGCGAAGGGTAGGGCGGCGACGGGGCCGCAAAAAGGGCGGCGACGGGGCCGCGAAATGGGCGGCGACAAGGCCGCGAAATGGGCGGCGACGAGGCCGCGAAATGGGCGGCGACGAGGCCGCGGAAGGGCGGCTACGAGGCCGCGACAGGGCGGCGACAGGGGGGGCCGTTTTGGGTCCTTAAGCGGGGGTCGCGAGGGGCCAACGGGGGGCCGCGAGGAAGCAGTAAGAAGAGGCCGCGACGGGCCGTGAAGGAAAAGGCGCACGGGGCGCGACTAGGGTAGGCGCGAAGCGCGCTCCGGGCAGGAAAAAAAAAATTTTCGTGAACCGTGGTGGGCCCTAGGAACCTTCCTGCTCTATACCATGTCAGGATTGAGAGGAATAGATGATCGATTAGGTTAGGGGAGGGGGTACAAGAGAGTGTCGAGAGAATAGAAGTACCCTCTAAGAAACACCCCTACACAACCTAGAACTAAATTATAACAAACATATAATTTGACACCTACGGCTAGGGAATAGGATGTAGTAGAGAACTGTGTGAAGAAATAGTGCTAAAAAGGGCATCCGGACGTTGGCGAGCTGACATGTTGCGCACAGGCCTATCCTTGCGCCGATTCAGGCCAGCAAACGCACGAACATGCGCCACGTGTCGCGCAACCCTATCCTTGTTGGTAATTCTCTGCTAGATTGCTCTAATCAACATAATCACAGTGTTTATGGGTTTATAATATATATACTGTGCTTTCATTATAGTCAACATGTTATATTTTAATAGACAGTGGTAAGAGATATCGGACCCCCCACATTTGTGGCTGGGCCATAATAAAGGTTTGTTTAGAACCCTTGGTACATATGGCTAATTGGGCTGGAGTTGATCTTTACGTCACTTATTTTTTATTCCTAGCTAATATCCCATTTTTAAAAGAACATAGCAGACTCAACTCTCAAAATGAGGTGTGTAACATGTTACTATTTTGTCTCTTCAACAGCAACCTAAACTGAGATGACGTGGCCAGAATCTTCGAACATTTCCAAGCGACGGTGAATCAGGGTGTGAAGTGTTGGTTGCCAAGCACTCTCCACACATCTCTCGATTTATTCTCGTTTGTGTCTGGAACAAAACGCCCAATGGGAACACACGTAAGCACCCAACCAGAAACGCCACGTAAACCATGGTTCGTGGTCCACCTGTACAGTGCTCGTCTGTAAACAGAGGTAAATTGGGATCGAGAGGGGGGGGGTGTCAACAGCTAGAAAGGCTCTCGACAATCTGCAGGAATAAACCCAGCGCAATCGATGGTAAACTGCCGCGAAGCAGGGTAGTGCGAATTTCACCTCATTAACTATGGAAAACGACCTGCCTCCCAACTCAAAAAGGGACCCCTTTCCCCCCCCCCCCCCCCCCCCCCCCCCCCAATACTCGCCAGTTTTACATTTTTCTGATGGACAGGCGATGGGAGGGAGGGCGGACAGGCGACGGGAGGGAGAGCGGACAGGCGATGGGAGGGAGGGTGGACAGGCGATGGGAGGGACGGCGGAAAGGCGACGGGAGGAAGAGCGCGAAGGCGACAGGAAAGAGAGCGCGAAGGCGACGAGAGGGAGAGCGCGAAGGCGACGCGCGAAGGCGACGAGAGAGAGAGCGCGAAGGCGACGAGAGAGAGAGCGGACAAGGGACGGGAGGGAGAGCGGACCGGCGGCGTGAGGGAGAGCGGACAGGCGACGGGAGGGAGAGCGGACAGGAGACGGGAGGGAGGGCGGACAGGCGACGGGAGAGAGGGCGGACAGGCGATGGGAGGGAGAGCGGACAGGCGATGGGAGGGAGGGCGGACAGGCGACGGGAGGGAGAGCGGACAGGCGTGGGAGGGAGGGCGGACATGCGATGGGAGGGAGGGCGGAAAGGCGACGGGAGGGAGAGCGCGAAGGCGAGAGAAAGAGAGGGCGACGAGAGGGAGGGGAGAAAGAGAGGGCGACGGGGGAAAAGGAGAGAGGCGCAAAGTTGACAGGAGGGGAGTGGACAGAGGATGAACGACTGGAGAGTAGGGAGATGGTGAAGGCGCGAGGAAACTAAAACTGCGCTTATATGCCACGTGTTTCTACATCACGTGCTCGTGGTACTGTAAGTCGACACACTCGTCGATAATAGCGAGCATATGACAGAAACGTTTTTGCTCTCAGCTCTTATTCTGAGTATGCTAAGCGAAAAACTAGCAACTGAAGGTTTCAGAAAGCTAGTTGTGATCCCAGGACCAGCTCGAAATTGAAGTTGGGCCTTGCGATGGAAAACCATCGCCAGGGAACGGTCGTGCAGATGCAGCACACAAAATGCGATGGCTGAAAGTTCATTTTGGCGGGAACCGAGCCAATCACACAAATACCCACGAATCGCACAAATCGATCCAGTTGTACCAAATCCAGACAACGACCCCACAATCAGCTCTCGGAGCAAAAGGCCAACAAACCTCCCAGCTGACTTCGAACTGCCTCCAAGCATGCCGGAGTCTCTTCCCACCTTTCCCGCGAAGCACGAAAAAACACATGTCCTGCTTCTTCGTTGACCTTGACAGTGTTGTTACTCCGAAGATCGCCAGCATCGCACGGCGGAGCGACGAACACTTCAACAAGTGGTTCCTCGATAGCTGCTGCGGACAACACATGGTGGGGTCAACAAAATTCATCAGTAACTCGAAGCGGACGGGTCGACTGTGCGAAATCACATTCGCAAGCAACAACCGACAGAAGGCCTACGACATTGGAAAGATTTACCTGTACTCAGACAACACCAACTTCACCATTCACATTTGTGACGTGCTCGTCGTCGCCGACCTTCAGTTCAACCTTCTCTCTGCAGCACAACTCATAAGATGCGGAGTTCAGATTCAGAGTAATTGCGAAGAAAAGAGCTTTGAGTTGTTTTACAAGGGAACTTAAAATCGAAAAAGCGGTCGACGAAGACAGCATCTTTGTCTTCAACTTCGCAGCTCAAGGGACCACTGGCAATTCGGACATAACGCTTCTGCTGAAGTCAACAACCACGGAAACACTGACGTGGTCGCATCCTGAAGAAATAGATCTTGAGCATCTTGGACCAGATGTTCTTCTGCGCTCATGCACCTTCCCAACTGCCTCAACTTCCACCTCCGAAGATACCGGACCTGCATTAATGGAACAAGAAGCTGACAGCGGAGCATCAGCATCTGCAGCATAGCCGGAAACCGGAGGATGGGGAAACACAAGAACAATTGCCCTGGGCTGGAGCAACACCGAAGTCACTAACGGAGCATGGGGAAGACCAATAACGCCTCCACCAGGAGTTCACCTTGGAGGCGGATGGGGAGTGTCAACTTCTCGAGGCGGTTGGGGACCACCAGCTCCTTATCCCGAAGCACCAATACTTCCTCCTGAGGCCGTAGCAGAAAGAGACACATATTGGGAAACTCGTGGCACCAGCTGGGGTGGACCTCCCCTTCCAGACCGAAACCCTTACGAACCTAAAGAGGAAAAACGAGAAGAGTCAGAAGAAATGCTTTACAATTTTGCAGAAGCAGCAAAGCTACCCGAACCTACTAGGGGGAAGCACCACCGACGAAGCAAGGACCTCAGCTATTCTCGGTCACCGGCGACGAATATCTCTATCATCGAGTCTCGATGGAGGGACTCCTTGCTTCCGAATGGCCAGAAGCAGCGCGGCTCCCAACTCCGCAGCTCTACCAATCATCGACGACTCGATCCATATTGCAGACACGAATGACATCGCCGACATCCCCAAAGCGGACTTGGAATAAGCGTCCATCCAAGCCTTCGCAGCTGACGTCCGCGCTGCCAGCGAAAAGGGACCTGCAACACCACAGCAAGAGGAAGCCGAGCGAAACAAGAATTATATGCGAACAATGGGCTACCGCTCATAACCCAAAATCTGGCACCAATGGCTCGGACACCCTTCTCATGCTACACTTCAGAACTCCATAGAAGTCGAAGTCTTTGACACCAGTGGACTACACCTACCTGGCGGAGAAATGCTCAAAGCAACATCTGTCGACCCACCATGCATCGTCCGATGAAGCGCGCCGAACGCCAGTCGGAATTGAAGCTGAAAAGCTTCCAAACAGACGGCGGCATAGAATACTTCTCTAACGAGTTGAAGGAGCTCTTTGCCAAGAAAGGGATCGAACACCTGGTGTCCATGCCCTACGCACACAAGCAGCAAGGAGTAGCAGGACGGACAAACAAGGGTCTTGCCACAATGATGAGAGCCCTCATGAAGCAGTCAGCCATCCCAACACGATTTTGGCCGTTCGCGATGAACCATGCCGTTCGACTGCACAACTTGCTGTCATCTTGAAGAAAAAAAAAACATACCTCACCTTTCAAGGCTTGAACGGGTAGAAAACCTGACACACGTCTACTCCGGGTATTTTGGTGCATGGTACAATACAGACCTCATACAGCAAGAACAGGAAATTTCACTGACCGGGCACGCTAGGGCATCCACCTCGGGATCAAAAAGAAGTTCAAGGCTTGGATCATGCTGGACTACGCAACACACGAACTAACAAAATCACGTGCTGCATCTTTCACAAAAAACTGACTCTCGCACTGTTCAAGGAACACCGTGAAGCTGACAAAGCACCGGAACAAGTTTTCGAGGGGCAACACAGCTTTGCCACAACACAAGATGAAGCTGACGTGGCGGAAGATGCAACAGACGTCTCAGCTCACAACCACTATCCACACATCCCCCTTACAAGCCCACTTCAAAGTCCAACTTTCAAACCTGTTTCACAATTCGATCCTGACGACACAACTTGTGAAGCCTACAATTTCAATAGCACAGTGCTGTGATCCCCAGATGCCGAGTTACCACCACTGAATTCATTGCAAGACACTGTTCGCAACGGCCACGATGACGACGACGACGACGTCGTTGTCGAAGTTAATAGCATGGACGACCACGATCGTCTCGCCTACAAAGACACCAACAAAACCAACCTCCGCATCCTTGGGCTCTTAGTAGCAGTTTGCACTCTCACCCAAGGAACCCACCACAATGTGTCGGGCTCTGTCTGGCCCCGACAGGGAGAAGTGGAAAGCAGCCATGGCAGCTGAAGTGGCAGCACTCAAGCGCCATGGAACCTGGAAAGTGGCTCCCGTTCATCTGCAAAGGGGAGAAGAATCTTAAGCAGCAAATGGATTTTCTAGATTAAAACACTTGCGGACGGCTCAATTGACAAATACAAGGTGTGGTGGGTGGTGTGTGACTTCGAGCAAACTCACATGGTGAAATACGATCAATCCTTCGCACCGTTCAGACGGCACATCTCGGTGCCCATTCTCATCTGCATCGCCGTCGTCAAGCAGCGCTTGCTCCACCAAATCGACGTCTCCAATGCGTTTCGGTACGCAATCGTTGACGCCATCAACTTCGTTGAGCAGTCGCACGCATTCAAAGAAAGCGACGGCGCCGTCTGCCTCCTCCAGAAGTCTCTCTACGTCATCAAACAAGCACCCCAACTGTGGCAGCACTACCTTCACACTGCTCTCATCGAACACGGCTTCACTTAGCTGCCGCACGATCAACGTATGTACCGGAAGGAGTCCCACAGCAACTTCATCCTCCCAGTTGCGTACATGGATGGCTTACTCTACACCGGCGAAAACGTGAAACTCCTAGACTGCTTCGAAGAGGAGACCAATGATAAGCCGGGAGTGACGATCAATCACAAGGTCACGCAATTCCTTGGACTAAATATTACACAGTCATTGCCAAGTTCGCGATAGCCTCGATCAATCTAACCACCCCTTTCCACACTCCTCCTCATAATTAAGAACCTGACACAACACCGCTCTCCATAAACAACCATCGCCTCTATGAGCAGTAATTGGGGTGCCTGCTGTTCGCCGCCGTCACGTGCCAGCCGGATCTCTCCTACATCGCAAGCCATCTCGCACAGTACCTGCGCCGACCTGAAGGGGAGAACATGTTAGACCTACGCCGAGCACTCTAATACTTCATTTCTAGTCCTGACGTCAGACTCACCTATACGGCCAACGTAACAGCTACCCTACAACTTCACGGCTATGTAGATGCGGACCATGCGGTAGATATTGACAACAGACGCACTTGCACAAGCTTCATTTTTCAACTCCAGCCTACTAAACTCATCTCGTGAAACTCCTAGACGGAGGAGCTCATTGCTCTTTCACCAACCAAAGTGAAATTCGTCGCCGTCAACGTAGCTATTCGCTCCTGCAGAAAGCGAAAGTGACGATGAACAGGCACTCTACGTTTCTCTGTGACAACCAAGGCGCAATAAAAATCACGAACAAGCCTGCTTTGTAAATCTCACGAAGCACATCGCACTCCGTTACTTCTTCGTCAAGGACGAGATCGACAAGGGCAAGGTTAAACTCACGTAATGCCCAACTAACGATATGAAAGCAGATTCCTTGACCAAGAAGCTGCTACGTCAGAAGTTTCAGCACTGCGCCGACCTTTGCAAGATCTCAAAGAAATCTCACGCGGCTCATCTTCAGGAATGAGGGGAAGTGTTGGAATGCCTCCTTTGCGCCTTATCGAAAGTCACCACGATCATTAAATGAAAGTGTGGAACCATAAGCGCGATGCTGAAACACGTGGAAGGTTGACGTGTGACGACGTGGGACAAATCGCTATGGGTAAACAAAAAGGCACGGGGAGGATCCTCGCAAGGTGACATGACAAGGAGCCTTTTGAAAATGTCCCCGTACTCGGATGAGGAGAATCGACGGAGATTGGTTCGCATTTGTGTGAAGGGTACGATGTCGTTTCGCGACATCAAATGTAAGGAATTGAGGGCATGGGCAAAGCTCCTCAATCCATTGGTCAACATGCCTTCGCGGGTGACCGTCACGAATGACATTTACGGCACGTATGATTCATGCGTGACGAAGCTCAAGGACCGTTTGGGGACAATAACTTCAAAGATGTCGCTCACAATCAATCTTTGGACGCCTCCTAACCTTCAAGACTTCATGGCTTTGACCGTTCATGGGCTTGATGAAAATTTCGAGACAAAACATGTGATGTTGAATTTTATTCGCATAGAAGATCAACATACGGGGGAGGCAATTAAGAAGGCATTTGTTCAGTCGGTTTTTGAAAAATGGGGGCTTGGAGAGAAGGTCATGGGTGTGACTATAGACAATGCAAGTAACAATGAGCGTTTCCTCTCACATCATTAGAAATAGAAAAACATTTCGAATAATATCCACATGTTATGCTTCGCACATGTGGTTAAACTTGTGGTGGAGGCAATCATGGCCTCACCAAAGGTTGTTGGTGCTATGCAAAACTTGAGGGCGTTTGC